CAGCAGACCAGGGGCACCGGAGCAGCTTACGAACGGGGCTTTCTCGCCCCGGAGCTCGCAGGTAGCAATCCACTACCTCGACCTCCGGGGCGAGAGAGCCCCGTTCGTAAGTGCGGATCCGACATAAGTCGGATCCGCGGAAGTCGGGGACTGCCTGTATCTTTGGTAATAGTTATATATCATATAGCTTTATGATCTATTTTAGACTTTCTTAGTACTTTTAGCCCAACAAAAGTTTGGTGAATGATAGTGTGACGTGAGAGGAACTTGATAATAAGTAAAAGAGCACATCTTTCAAAAGGCAGATGGAATATGAAGGATGTGAGGTTTTGAATTAGTGTTTGTGATGACTGGTAATTATTTGCAGAGAGATGTGCTGTTTTATTTCTTATATATATATTTTAACAGGAAGTGCACCTACACTTAGATAAGGGTTTATTTATGTTGTATTTTAAAACAAGTCAGTAAAGAAATTGTTTGCCTAACTAGAGAGTTACAAGTTCATATACAAAATAACTAAACAAAAAAGTTTATATACAGGCAGTCTCCGGGTTACATGGATCCAACTTACATCAGATCCCTACTTACAAACGGGTGCACTCCTTTGTCCCCTGAAGACAAGTTTTGCCGGGGCAAGTGCCAGTGTGAACTGTTAGGTGTAGTTGTATTGAATGGCTGAGGGATTTTTGGAACAGCTTGGCAGAGCTGTGGTTGTGATGGAAACAAGTCCATATGTACCTTGAGAGATCCAGTATGCTTCACTTCACTGCAGAGTTCTGTGGGTTGTATCTCTATCAGTGGACAAGGGTCGATTATCAGTGGTGATGTAGGATATGAGAGTGGTTTGAGGGTTTAATCATGAGTAAGTGAAAATATAGCATTAGCTGTTGTTGTGGGCTTAAAGGTAAAGGGGCTTGTAAAATTTAGCATGTGATAATATTTCTATGGAGTAGGCTAAGTGTATGCGTAAAGCAGGTGTACGTCTCTCCTGTTGAGTACAGTTCACCTACATATTTTAGACAAAGTATTGCTCTCTTCCAGTGATGATGTTCTCTGAAAGCAAAAGTAGAATGTGCAGGCCCCCTTGAGCTACTCAGTTTCTGTGACAATTTAAAATCTCTAATCTAATCTTGCTGCACGTGGGTGCTTTAGTTCATTGTGTACCATTAAAATCAAACCTGTTTTCAGTACTGCTCCCCTAGTGGGACAGTGGGTATGGCATAGTAGCTGAGATAAACATAATAAGTTACTAAGATCAATTGGGGGACAATCAGAGCCATGGTTTGAGCCCCAGACAGGCTACTGGGCTAGATGCACCTTTGGTCTGACACAGTACGGCCATTCTTATGTTCTTATCTGTGGCTGGACAAAGGCTGTCAGATGGTTGTTCTGTTGGATCAGTGGGAGAACCAAAGGAGGAATTATGACTGACTACTTCTTCCCTATGCTGTTTCTGGGGCCACATAGCTATTCATCTTCATCTTACTCAGGGTGACAAACTAAGTCTTTGTCTAGAGCTAGATGAAGTCATAACTATTGCTGCTTCTAGAGTATTGAATAGTTCTCTGACAGAGAGAGTGAGTGAGTTTTGGACCTCTGAAGAAGATATGTTTGTGTCTGTTCATTATTTTATGTACAGATTACTGTTGCATACTGTGAAATGAAGAGTATTGCCCTTGTCCAAACTTTAGTACAGTGAAAACTTTATTTGGCACTTTGAACCAGAAAACTGTTAACCAGCGTTGCCCCCGGCCATAATACTGCTTCATCTTCAGGCACACATGCCTGACTCCCTCCATTCCAGCTGGCCATTGTTGGGTTTCTGACAACCAGCACTGTTGACTGATGTCTTCAACAGTCACCTTCTTTCCCCCTAAGTCTGTCTCCAGCTGCTGGGAGCTGGATCTGACAATAGGGACAAAAACAGAGCGTAAGCTTTGTTATCCAGCACATTCAGTTAACCAGCAACCTCTGTTCCCCATGAGTGCCAGATAATAAAGCTTTAATTGTACCTGAAAATGTCCTCAAATGTTCAGTTGCTTAATCATTTTGGGTTGTGGGGTTTGTGTTTATATTTGGGAACCTTGGATTTAGCTGCAATACATTTCACTGGGAAATTCATATTGGCATTCTACCACCAATTAGTTAAACTTTTTTCTTTTATTAAAAAATAAAATGCTGACACAGATAGCAGTAGCACACCCACATCTCACATGAGACTGGAAAGAACCAAAACTTTCTATACGGAATAAAGTGTATTGAGGTCACACTGCCTATCTCGTTCTTATTGACCTTCCCTAAAAATTATAGGTTAGAGAATGGATGATAACTGATGAGGCTGTTGGCATCAAGAGAGGGCTTCGTTAGTATTGACCTCATACTGTTTCTTTCCGGGCATCTGTCACTCAGCTTCGTATCTGGAGGGGAAGTAGAATGGACTTACACTTCCTACTAACCTGAACCCTTCAAAGCCAAATTAATAGTTGAGTAATAATTGACCACAGTGTTCTCAGAACATTTTGCGTAAACCTCAGTGAGAGAAAGCAGACAAACACATCACTGAATATTTCATATATATAATCTGCTTTGATGCATTTCCCATACTGCTAAATAAATCAGTCCAGGTAAGACTGATTTTTTTAAGCTAACAAACAGAAAACTTCACACAGCCAGAAACTGGATTCTTGTATAGAGCAAAACAAATACAATTAATTAGGTTAGCGACAACTCTGATTAATTTGCTGAGCATAACTTTTGTTATCTGGTGTTAAGTATAAACACTTTCTTTTTGTGTCAGAGCCACTGGTTAGGGAAATAATAAAAAAGCCTTCCTTCTTGTAATCACCTTCCATGTGTATTTTCACCATGTGTATTGTTCGCTTATTTTGCTTTCTTGTTGATTCACTAGTCACAGCTTCTATCTATCTATATGTGCTTTCCCTTCTCTCTCTCGTGCGTGCGTGTGCGCACGTGCACACACACACAAAACAAGCTTTATTCAGATGAAATGGCATAGCAATAAAATCTTTGTCCATGGTCATCTGATAGACCTATAAAAGGCATAGGCTTGAATTCACCAATAAGATACCATGACAATAAATTTGAATTGCAGAATAGGCTACAGTTTGGACAGACATAAACTGCACAAGACATGTTGAAAATTACCATCAAATTTAATTTTTTCCATCATTTTTTAAAATATATTTTACTTTTTCCCTTCCCCACAGTGTTTACTTTCACAACCAAAGTTCTGGGCCATTCAGTATTCAGCATTACTTCTTCGGACGAAACTTGAGAAAGGAAGCATTCGTCGAGTAGAACGAGCAATGAGGCAGACTCAGGTAAGACTTCTATTGTTGCTACCTCCAATCCTTATACACACAGTTTTGTAAGCATTTAGACCCCTGATTTTGAAAGAATGCTGCCATTTTTCAGAGTATTTAATCTTGTAATTTTGTCACATTAATATTTGGAAGGTTGGCACCAGAACCTGTTTCCTTAACTTTTCTTCTTTCTTTGACATTAAAATAGCTACTTTGTAATGGTTTGTGAATGCAAAATTTTAAGGTTTTTTTTTTTAAATAGCATTGAATCATTTTGTACAATAAATCCCTATATAAGAATTAGTTTATAAAAGAGGAAATGAAAATAATACAGCTGCATAATAGCTTACATGTTTTTCCTTTCAGTTGTAATAGTGGCCCTTTATTTACAGATACTGATTTCTGCACATTTGTGACAGATTAATTAAATGACCAAAACTTCTCACTTAGATCAGAGCTGTGCAAAATATGGCTCATGGGCCAGATCTAGCTTGCTGAGTCATGGGGTCCAGCCCCTGGTTGCCTGTCTGGCTCCCTGCCTGCCCCACCCCTTCTCACTGCTCAGAAAAACAGCTGTGGGGCCATGTGCGTCTCTGAATGTTGCAAGCCCAGGGGAAGGGGAAGAGACTTCTCATGCTGCTCCTGTCCCCAGCAAAACTTTGCAGCTCCCATTGGCTGGTTTTTAGCCAGTAGGAGGTGCTTGTTAGCAGGACAGGCAGCATGTAAAGTACCCCTTCCCCTGGGTTCAAAGCGTTGAATTCACACCAGCACACTTGGCCCCTGCAGCTGCTCTGAGCATGGAAGGCAGGGAGCCTTATCTAAGGAACCTGCTGGACTGCTTGCTGGGAGCCGCAGAGGTTAAGCACCTCCTGGCCAGAGCCTACCTCTGGCATCTCAACTCTTCCCTCCCCCCAACTCTCTGCCCCCTTTCCTGCACCCATGCTCCTTCCCAGACCCTGTACCCTTTGCTACATGTCTCCTCCAGGTCACAATCCCATTCCAGGCTTTGCACCCCTCCTCCAGGTCAGAATCCTCTCCTGCACCCATACCCTCTCACAACTCTGTGCCCCAGTCCCCTGCCACAGGTCACAATCCAAACCCCTGCTCAACCCCTGTACCAGGTCACAACCCTTCCCAGATCCTGCACCCCCTCCTATATCCTTTTTCCAGGTCAGAATCCTATACCCTAGGTTTGAAGTGTTGCACCTATACCCCCTTCTGCACCCTATACCCCAGTCCCTCCCCCAGATCATAAGCTCCTCCTTCACCCAATCTTCCTTGCAAAGCCCACGCCCTCTTTTGCACCCCAGTCCCTTACCCCAAGCTCCATTCTGCACCCAACCTGCACCAATAATAATATGGAAGTGTGTGTCCTTGACCACTTACCAAATTTTTGGAGTGCCCCCCATCAAAAATTATTTCCCACCTGTGACTTATATTTAAGAAGTGCTCATTTATCTAAGTGAAAATGTAAAGAGGTAAGAAACATTACAAAATCCAGAAAGCATTTCAATTGTAAGATATGTTCCCTTACAGAAAATAATTCTATAGAACGCAATAGAAAAACATTAACTTTCCTTGGAACATTTTCTAAATAGTGTGGCATCTTTACATCTTTAAACTTGGTTCATGTCCATGGTCAGCAGGCATTTCCCACGTATCTGTTTTAACTCTTTTCTCCTTAACAGATCACATACAGTAGACTTCTGATAATCCGGAACCTTTGGGACCTAGGTGGTGCCGGATTATCAGATAAGGCAGACTATCGGGAGGCACTATAAACTGGTTATATATATACTGTATACATTATATACTGTATATAAAGTGTTCTTAACCCTTTTTATTGTACATACTGTATACAGTATACTGTAATGTTTTAGTTTTTTAAGCCTTTTTTACCCTTTTTGCTCAGTTCAGCTGCTGCCGCTGTTACCTTGTGACTCATTTTTTGCAGAAGCTCACTTACTAGGCTCTTGCCATTTTGATGCCGGACTATCAGGAGTGCCGGACTATTGGAGTTTTACTGTACATGTAAATTTGATGAGTTAAGGGCTGTGTGAAAATCCTGAGGAACTGTTGTTTTGCCAGGGACCTTCATTAGATAAATATGTGGTGAATCTGTGTGGGGGCAAATATGTTGCTACTTTTTCATCTTCATCAGAAGATCTCTTGGCAATTAGGAAGCACAGTATCCACAGCCTTGTAATAAGCATCACATTTCAAGGCATTTAGAAGCAGGGCCATCAAGTGCTAGCGCCATAGACTCTTATCATTTGAAATGCCTACAGTACTTGTCCTAAGCCAGGGAACATTTGGTATATGACGAGAGAATGAAGTTTTTCTGCATGTATCAAAAAGGGAGCTAATTATTTCTTGGTTCCAATCGTTTCTTACTAGATGGACACTAGACGTTTTCTTTTCTAAGAAAGTATTTAGTATGTGGTTATGGAAAGAATAGAGAAAATTAACCGTTATTCCTTGATTAGGTACCTTTTTCAGGAGAATGGTCTCTGTATAACAGGAGATTTCAGCATATAACCAGATTCCTCAAAACACTAGACAATCTGTATTAATTCATGATGTAGATATTGGGATAGAGAGTACGCTTATTAAGTTTGCAGATCATACCAAACTGGGTGGGGTTGCAACTTCTTTGGAGGATAGGGACATAATTCAAAATGACCTTAGCAAGTTAGAGAAATGGTCAGAGGTAAACAGGATGAGGTTTAATAAAGAGAAATGCAAAGTGCTCCACTTAGGAAGGAACAATCAGTTCCATACATACAAGATGGGAAGCGACTGTCTAGGAAAGAGCATGGCGGAAAGGGATCTAGGGGTCATAGTGGACCACAAGGTGAATATGAGTCAACAGTGTGATGCTGCTGCAAAAAAAGCAAATATGATTCTAGGTTGTATCAACAGGTGTGTGGTAAGCAAAACTCGTGAAGTCATTCTGCCGCTCTACTCTGCACTAGTTAGGCCTCAGCTGGAGTACTGTGTCCAGTTCTGGGCACCACATTTCAAGAAAGATGTGGAGAAATTGGAAAGGGTACAGAGAAGAGCGACAAGAATGATTAAAGGTTTAGAGAACATGACCTATGAAGCCAGGCTTCATGAACTGGGCTTGTTTAGTTTGGAAAAAAGAAGATTAAGGGGGGACATGATAGCGGTTTTCAAATATCTAAAAGGGTGTCACAAGGAGGAAGGAGAAAATTTGTTCCTCTTGGTTTCTGAGGACAGGACAAGGAGTAATGGGCTTAAAGTGCAGCAGGGGAGGTTTAGATTGGACATTAGGAAAAAATTCCTAACTGTCAGGGTGGTCAAATATTGGAATAAATTGCCAAGGGAGGTGGTGGAATCTCCCTCTCTGGAGATATTTAAGAACAGGTTAGATAGACATCTGTCAGGGATGGTGTAGACGGAGCTTGATCCTGCCTTGAGGGCGGGGGGCTGGACTCGATGACCTCTCGAGGTCCCTTCCAGTCCTATTATTCTATGATTCTATGAAAAGCATGAGTGGCGTGGAGAGGGTGCATAAAGAAAAGTTCTTCACATAATTCAAAATGACCTTAGCAAGTTAGAGAAATGGTCAGAGGTAAACAGGATGAGGTTTAATAAGGAGAAATGCAGAGTGCTCCACTTAGGAAGGAACAATCAGTTCCATACATACAAGATGGGAAGCGACTGTCTAGGAAGGAGCATGGCGGAAAGGGATCTAGGGGTCATAGTGGACCACAAGTTGAATATGAGTCAACAGTGTGATGCTGTTGCCAAAAAAGCAAATATGATTCTAGGTTGTATCAACAGGTGTGTTGTAAGCAAAACTCGTGAAGTCATTCTGCCGCTCTACTCTGCACTAGTTAGGCCTCAGCTGGAGTACTGTGTCCAGTTCTGGGTGCCACATTTCAAGAAAGATGTGGAGAAATTGGAAAGGGTACAGAGAAGAGTGACAAGAATGATTAAAGGTCTAGAGAAGCCTATGAAGCCAGGCTTCATGAACTGGGCTTGTTTAGTTTGGAAAAAAGAAGATTAAGGGGGGACATGATAGTGGTTTTCAAATATCTAAAAGGGTGTCACAAGGAGGAAGGTGAAAATTTGTTCCTCTTGGTTTCTGAGGACAGGACAAGGAGTAATGGGCTTAAAGTGCAGCAGGGGAGGTTTAGATTGGACATTAGGAAAAAATTCCTAACTGTCAGGGTGGTCAAATATTGGAATAAATTGCCAAGGGAGGTGGTGGAATCTCCCTCTCTGGAGATATTTAAGAACAGGTTAGATAGACATCTGTCAGGGATGGTGTAGACGGAGCTTGTTCCTGCCTTGAGGGCGGGGGGCTGGACTCGTTGACCTCTCGAGGCCCCTTCCAGTCCTATTATTCTATGATTCTGTGAATTCAGGAAGTAATTTTACAGTTTCAAACTGCTACATCAAGGAGAGTTACAGCTTCTTGTTGGAGTTGTGGGTTCACTGTATTGAGTTTGGGCAAGAAGTGTTCCTTTCTGCTAAACCCTAGGGGTGTGTCTAGACTACAGGGTTTTTTTTTTTTTTTCCCGAAAAAAGTGGCCTTTTTTCAAAAAAGCTTCCTCTGCGTCTAGACTGCTGCCACATTCTTTCAGAAGTAAATCAAAAGAACATGGCAGGCTTTTTTGATCGTGGAAAACCTCGTTTTATGAGGAATAACGCCTTTTTTCAAAAGTGCTCTTTCGAAAAAAGGTGCTATGTAATGCAAACTGCTTTTTCGAAAGAGAGCATCCAGACTACATGGGTGCTCTCTTTTGAAAAAGCAGCTTGCTTTTTTGAAAGTACCAGTTGTAGTTTAGATGCTTTCTTTCGAAAGAGGCTTGCAGTCTAGACGTAGCCTAGAGGATCAAACTAGACAAAACACAAATAATTCTAGTAGCATGTTACTGACTCTTGGGTCCCTGAGTACTTCCAGTTAAATCACATGGCACTTGGCACCTACTTTGTTCCTTCTAATAAGCAACTACATTCTTGTTCAAGGATCTGCTCTCCACTAAACC